GATACCTCAGACACTGGAAGATGAATTGGGAAACGATCATCTGTTGTGTGCTATCTTGCAGACTAAACCTTTAACTGATTAACAGAAAAAATGCTGAAAATATTTTCATTTATACACCAAAGCCTTCTCTTTATATACTTAAAGCAGTATAAAGCAGCACCTTAGTCACAACCACATTCACTGAACTGAAGATGAGTCAAAGTCTACCTCTAGTTGGCAAAAAACAAACATTAGCAGCGAAGGTCAGACTTAAACTGGCAAAAACAGACAACTTTTAGCTTCTCACTATGAAGTAAATGACTGTAATGGCTGTAGAATAGTGACACCGTCGATGTTTAGATTGGTTCCCTGTAAACCACGCTTTCACCGTCCAGCTTTGTCCGACACCAGGTCAGGAAAATGAAAGCTCAATTTACGGGACAAAGGAAGCACATCTGCAATTGTGCAACCACAACATGAAGAAGATAACGCTTTTGTTTGCCCTAATAACTATCAGTACATCTCCCCAGGTACCTGCAATGACAGATAGTGGAATAACCGGAGTAACTGTGGAACCGATGAGAGAACCGATGTCGAGGTATGCAAATTTTTCATTTCACTGCAGCTGTGTCATGAAGACAATAGAACAAGTGTTTTTGTTATTAAAAGCGTGTTAAAAGAACTTATGAATATCCAAAACTGTTTGTTTTCCAAAACCGGACACATGATATCCTCTACATCCCCAAAACTCCCCTGCAAGAGTTTGTGCAGTGCAACCTTCAAGTCTCCACATCACGCCTGTGTGAGTTACCTGTTGGACCAGGACTGGCATCCAGAGATAAGGCCCATTCACACTGCACCCATCATTTGTCATGCAGAATTGAACAAATGAAAAACTACAGCAGCCAAGAAGTTCTCCCATTACAACGTCAGAACATCAAAATCTAGGATATGTCCTTCTAAGGAGCAGCATCCAATTTCAGGGGCCCTTAAGGGTTGAAAATGTTAAAGACAAGATTACAGGGGAAGTCCAGAATCATTTTTAAAAACAGTAAACAAACTGTCAAGAGCGACCAACCCCAACTTTACAAAAAATAGGAAGTTTTATTAGTTTATATTGTGAGTATAAAGACAGAGCTCACTGGTGATTCAAAACCAGCAGCTGTTTGTCCTTGCTGGCAAAGTCATACATTTCAAACATACTTTCTTTTAAGTACCTTGGTGCTGAAGACAGTAAAGTAACGCTGTGCAGAGTAACGTAACCTAAGTGGGTTTCTCAACAAACCGTCAGTGAGTGAAGTTTTGCAGCAACAAGAAGCTTTGTTCATCTCGTTCTCCATGATATGGGCTGTTGGAAAGGATCAGAATTGTCCATCCATCCATCCATCCATTATATGTGAACTGCTTCATCCTCACTAGGGTCGTGGAGGGCTGGAGCCTATCCCAGCTGACTCAGGGTGAAGGCAGGGGACACCCTGGACAGGTCACCAGTCTATCACAGGGCTACACTTAGAGACAGACAACCAAGCACACTCACATTCACACCTACGGACAATTTAGAATCACCAATTAACCTCAACATGTTTTTGGACTGTTGGAGGAAGCCGGAGAACCCGGAGAGAACCCACGCTGCACGGGGAGAACATGCAAACTTCATGCAGAAAGATCCCGGGTGTCCTCAACAGTCTTAAAACAGTCTTTGAGTGTCAAACTATGAAAATACAGCACCCTGCACAGTTCAGTACAAACCTCAGGAGAGGTCATAATGAATGAAGAGGGTCTTTAAATATAATGTCACACCACTTATTTTTGTTTTCTTGCCCTTTTATAAACATTGTTGATGTGCAGACCAGCACTACCTGTTTCATTGATGCAGACCTGTAACTTACAGGGAGGTTTATTTACTTCCATTTAGCACCAGAACAGACACGGTATCTTTGAATTTCTCTTGACTTTCCATAAAGTGGCTTTAGGGTTCTCATGAAGGATCTAAACATTTCACTGATTTAACCCTGGTGCTTAAAGGCAGCTGGTACACTGTAAGACAAATGCAGTAAAAAAAAAAAAAAAGAGGCAACAGGAGTGAAAAAGAAGAAATCTGTTTCAAAAAACAGTAAAACATGTAATATTCATAATCTGTAAGCACTTTTAAAACAACTATAAATATCTTTAAACAATACTTTTTAATGTTATTTTAATACAGTAAAACGGCATCATTGTAAAAGAATGAATTACTCCTGATGAAAATATATTTTTGATGTTTACATTATCTACAGTTTTTCAGTCCAAATGTAAATAAATACTTTATGTAGCCTAACATAATTAAAAACAGAGGTATCATTTGAAAAAAAATAAATAAATACAGATTTTATTTACAGTTTTGTTGTCCTTAGGGTTAGCTTATAAAAAAATCATGTCTGTGAGTTTGCTGTGGATTGTCTGTAACTGAACAAAATAGGGAAAATAACAGTAAATCGTTTTGGGGTTTTTTTAGTGTTCAGTTTTCCATGAAGCATACTGTGCCTTAATATTTACATTCATTTAGATATTAAACACTTTTCCAGAGAATCTAACAACCTGCTTGATCTTCTCAGATATGCCTGTAGTGATATAAACGACAAACAAGTTGTTGTTCCTCTTTTTCTTCTTCTTTCCAGCCACCTGTCACCTGTGCTGCTGTAAACACCAGCGCATGAACAGAATAATAACTGACCACCATGTAAAGCTCACACAGCCGGTCAAACAGGCAGCAACCTGGTGGAAAACACTCTATTTACTCGCTTTTACCCCCCTGATCTTTCCTCAAGTTACTGTTTGTTCATGGAAGTCACAGTTTCCCAGCTGGCCTCATCGAACCGCAGCAGATTATTGTGTGTAATCTGTGTGCTGACACTCACCTGTCCTCTCTGCTGCTTTGTTCAAAGTCGAGCCATGAAATAATCCCGCGGTGGAGCTCTGTCGGTTAAAATAAGGCGTCGACCGAAAAGTTTCACCGCGGATTGATGAGCCTTGTCGCGGGAGAAGCTCACAGCCGGTCGGTCATCTGCTGCTGGCGGCTGCGGGGCTCCAGACTCTGGGCTGGACTTAGTGAGCTGCTCCGGAGGGACGACAGCGACCTCTGGTGGCGGATCTGGACAACATTTCATAGAGGGATGGAGGTTTTATTTGAACATTGAAGAGGACACAAACTCCTCAACATGGTAGAAGTTTTACAACTAA